AGATTTTGTCCCTGGCTTCAGCAGTGTGCATAGCCTGGGAATTCTTTCCTTTCAGCAGTCTGCTTGTTCTGTGTTCAAGAGTAAAAGTAGGCAAGTAGAATTAGTTGGTTGCTGAAGTGAATTTTTAAGTCTAGTAAGACCAGTATGTGCACTGTGTTTGGTGCCATTTCTCTGTTGTAGCTGAATAAAACAGTAGTTGGTTACACATCTGTTCTTTACTGTTATTCTGATGACACGTTTCCTGTGACTGAATACATAGTAACATCTGTTACAGAAAGGTAGGTGGCAGAACTTTAATTTAACGCTGTAAAATATGCTGTGAGTTTAATTAAACAGCGAAACCGAGGTATCTTTGCATCCAGAAAGTAGTAATCACCTGTAGTCTAGATGTTTTCTAGGACATCTTTTTCTCCTCTACTTCTGCTGATTGACTCTGTCAGAAATTCATTTGGTACTGTTCTCTTGAGGCTTTGACAGATCGTTATGTGAAAAACACTATGCAAACGTAGCATTTTCTAAAACTATTGAGCAGAATAGCTCAACATGTCTCATAAGCTCACTTTTTAATAATACAGTACTTATGAACTGACACCCTTAATGAACACAGTTTAGTAATACAACACTCTTCCCCCTTTTCTGTATGGTGTTTTTTTTGGGTTTTTTTTTGTTTGTTTTTTTTTTTCCTTGGAAAGTACTTTTGTTCAGGTTTTTGTAGTCCTCATTGCTAATTTTTAGCTTTTGTGAATTCAGCTTCATTTGGCTCAGAAAACAGGAGTCCTATGCTTGGTGATTTTTCATCTTACTTGTAGAATTACTAAGTAGAAGGAGTGAATTTATCTTTTCAGAACCCATTTGTAACCCTCAAAAGTTATGATTTACTGCATCTGAGTAACAATATATAATAGGTTGTTTTGAAGCCTTTTTTTCTTGCTTGGTTTGACTGGGATTTGGTACTTAGCCTTGACTTGTCTTGATGTTTTCCCGCGCCCCCCTTTCCTGTCATCTGGTGTGTTCTAACTACAAAAGTTTCAAAAATGTGAAAGACTGGTTTGTATACTACTGACTGTTTCACTAATCAATATTTAATATGGTTTTCATAGGATATGTAACATGACACTGATATTCTGGACAGGTAATTTTCATTGTTTGAAAACCTTACATAATAATGGGAATCAGGTAACTGCTAGAAATGAGCACCTTATTTATTTATTTTTTTAGCATCATATTGCCAAGGATTTGTTTTGTAAAATCTACTGTTGAAAAAGCTATAGCTTCTTATTGTTGCAATCAGTATCAAAATGGTTCTGAAATTGTCAAAGTGAAGTTAATATTTAAAGGGACACTGTCACTTTTTAACATTGAATTTGGTTCTAAAAACTTAAATTATTGTTCCCTTATTGAAAGATTGTAAGGCTATTTGGTGGAATTCTGAATGATTATTAAAGGCAGTGAAGCTAGTCCCCTTCGGCTTCTCCTTCGTGTCCTCTGTGTGCACCTGCCTGCTTGTTGCCTCTTTGGTTTCAGCTTTGCTATGGCTGTGTGCACCCTCTTGCAGAGCCCGGGGGAGAGCGTGCATGCTTACTCTCTCCCGAGCAGTGCATGAGTGATGTGGTCATGCTGGTGCATGAGGAGAGTGCAATTACTGGCAATGACACTGGCTGCAGGTGAAGTGCTGCTACCAAATAGATACACTAATGGAGGTGTTTCTTACCTAATCTTTCCTGTTTGCTTATGAGCTGTGAAAGTAGAAACTTTGGTGTGGTTAGTGTGAGAATTTCACTATGTAAAAATGTAATGTCATGCATTTGACAGTGTCCCTTTAAATTCTACATGCTTGAATGTATAGCTGCCAAATCTGTATGTACTGAGATATTGAGTGGTGTAGTTGATTCGCTTGAGGGAAGGGATGCCATCCAGAGGGACCTTGACAGGCTTGAGGAGTGGGCACGTGTGAACCTCATGAAGTTGAACAAGGCCAAGTGCAAGGTCCTGCACCTTGGCTTGGGGCGATCCCCAATATCAGTATAGACTGGAGGATGAGTGGTTTGAGAGCAGGCCTGCGGAGAAGGATTTGGGGATACTGGTGGATGAAAAATAAGACATGAGGCAGCAATGTGTGCTTGTGGCCCAGAAAGCCAGTCGTAACCAGTGGTACAATAAAGCCATGGACCTGATGGAGCAGGTCCAGAGGAGGGCCACAAAAATCATCAGGGGGCTGGAACACCTCTCCTACGAAGAAAGGCCGAGAGAGTTGGGGTTGTTCAGCCTGGAGAAGAGGAGGCTCCCAGGGAGACCTTATTATGGCCTTTCAATACTTAAAAGGGATCTTATGAGAAAGACGGAGAGAGACTTTTTAGCAGGGCCTGTAGTCACAGGACAAGGGCTAGTGGTTTTAAACAGAAAGAGGGTAGATTTACATTGGACATAAGGAAGAAATTTTTTGTTCTGAGGGTGGTGAAACACTGGCATATGTTGCCGAGAGAGGTGGTAGGTGCCCCATCCCTGACATTCAAGGTCAGGCTGGACAGGGCTCTGAGCAACCTGATCTAGTGGAAGATTTCCCTGCTCGTTGCAGGGGAGATTGGACTAGATGACTTTTAAAGGTCTGTTCTGACCCAAACTATTCTGTGATTCTATGAAGCAATCCAGAAAAGGCTATTTCTTGGTAAAATGAAGTAGCTTGGCAGCAAAGAGCAAATGGAAGTTCACATAGTTAAAACAATGCCTGGGAAGGCATAAACCATATTAACATCCCTGTGTATAACTACAGCTCGGGAGCCATATCTGACAGGAATTAGGAATTAGATTTTTTTCTTTTTTTTCCACAGCTTAAGTGAAACTGGTTAAATGATTTATGTGATTATATTTAGCTGTGTATGTATAGATATAAAACTGTTTAACACATAGATGTGTGTGCACACAGAGTTTGATGCTTCCAGCCTTAAAAAGTAATCCTGAATGCTGCAGAAACTGTCAAACTGAAAGACATAAAAGAGTGATTCCCAAGGGAGATAGGAAGGTGTTTGGGATCTGATAATGTTTTGAAAAGAAGCAGAAATGTGATGAGCACTGAAAACCTGTTCCCAATTCTTGACCATATGTCGAAGAACCAGAAGATCCTTAGTGAAGCCCAGAAAATTGGCAATAACTTGTTTATGGGATGGGCTTTTTTAAATTTCAGTCCTGTCTTTCTATGGCAGAGGAATGTAGCCACAGTGAAAAAGGAAATCTAGTAAAATAAGAAACTGCCTAATGGTAGTTCTTTCTCTTTTTTCTTCTTTAATTTGCGAATATAGCTAATTAGTTACTACTGATTAATCACACATAAAAAGCTCTGATGGGATTAGGTGCAGGGGAGGACTGTGCAGAGTCCAGAGGAAATGAACAAAATAATTTCAGTGCAATACAAGATACTGGTGCAACCTGAATTTTATTTTAGATTCACTATGGAATTGGTGTCAGGTTACTGGAACTTGGGTGTTCCAAAAGCTAATTAAAATACCAAGTTTTTTAATGAGAAAATCTGAGGATGGATGGGCATCAAAACTTTAACTAAATCTAGCCTCATATTCATATAAATTTATATGTCTTTATATATTTTAATTTTTGTGATGTAAAAACCAAAGCAAATTTAAAGCTGTTTTTATTCATGGTGCATACTGTGTTTTTAGTAAGGTATGCTTTTCCTTGGCTTTATGATATGTTAAAAAGCTGAAAATACCATGTCAAAACATCTGAACTGGTTAATGCCTAGTCTTGTTAATAGCGACGGTGCTCATTCCTAGCTTGAGATCTAGTGTGTTGGCGGATCTTAAATTGGAAGTGGCCCTGGGTTTGGTTTAAATTTTCTCTGATCGACTTACTTAAAAGGAAGCTCAGTTGCCTTGTTAGCTTTGCCAACTCTGCTCTCCTATTTCTCTGCAGACTATTTCAGCTATTTTAAGTTGTAATTGTTGTTTCAGAAATCATTTATGCTGGAGAATGAATTTTTATGTTGTTTTCAATGTTCATCATCGAAAAATTTTGAGTAATCAATTCTAAAACATTTGAAATGTTTAACAACTGGTACCCCATGAAACTAAAAATAATTTCTGTTGAATATCAGGTTTAAATTAAAAAAAAAAATCCAGTAATTAAAAGTTTGTGCAAATAAGATTTTGACAGTAAAGAACATATTCTCCAACGTTTATGCAAGAAATCAAACACAATTTGATTTTTCTTAAACAGGGGAAAGCAGTAGATCATGCATGGTAATATTAATTGGTGATACTGTCAGGTGGTTTTAGGGATGTTAAAATGCATATTTGGCTTTAACAGGCTGACAAATTAACAACAGCTGCCTGGTTAAGTCAGGTGCACTTTCACTCATAAGTTTGTGGGCTCTTTTACTATCAAGGCAGTGAAAAAGTGAGCTGTCAAAAATGGTGGAAAGCAGTTCAGAACTGTCATTAAAATTAATTTCTGCTTATCTGTAAATAAGCACATCTATTAAATTTTGTGTCCTAACACTTGATGTTGTATAATACATTTTTAACCTGACAGTGTCCCTAAATTATCATGTCTGTTTGCTTTCATTTTCCAGCTGGGTTTTAATTTTGCATGCGTTTCAGTGAAATATAGTATGCATAATAGTTACTTCCTGGAAGCATTCTGGGGCTGTCTCTGCTAGTGTTCTCCAAAATGAGCAAGGTAGTGGAATTTATTTTTCTCTTGTGGAGGTTTGTTAGCTAATGGATAAGTAATACAGAAATGATCCACTTTATTTACATATGCATATGTGTTTTTCAACTTAATGTTGTTGGAAGAAGAGCTATAAGTAACAGGGATCCCTTCTTTTTAATGACAACCCAAACAACTCCAAAACTTAGTAAAATTAAATATTTCTATTTAAAAAAAAAATAAAAATTAAGCTCTGGTTAGTTTGGCAAAGCAATTTGTAATGTGTAATGCTTTTCCTTAGTTTATCATAGGAGCCTCTGTGAAGTTGTTTTTTTGAAGTAATGCCAATAGAAAGTGGAAGTTGTGCATCTGCTCGCCAAGCAAAGCAGAAACGTAAATCACACAGTCTTTCAATCCGAAGAACCAACAGTTCTGAGCAAGAACGGGCAGGACTGCAGAGAGACATGTTGGAAGGGCAGGTAAGATAATACACTGCTGCTTGGGTAATTTCCTTAACTTTTTTTAATGAGGAGTTTTCTATGCAAAGAAATTAAATAAACCTAAGTAATGAAAAATGTGCAGTAAAGCTGCAGGAACAGCAGACTTTCTTGGTTTTAAACGCTGACTGTCTTTGGAGACTGTTGATGTGGATGTTAACAGTGTTTCAGACCTGTGGAGCTTTTTATTAGCTTTTGTGTATTCTTACATGAATTATAAAACCATAGAGAAATACAAAGAAACAGCTTCTTTATTTCACTGCACCTCCAACCTCCCCCCTCCTTAAAGTTGAAGATTGATTCTTGGTTTCATAAGTTTGAATTTGGAATAGTAGTAACACAGGAATATGAATAAACCAGACTATTTGTTATTATTACTCTGATAGGGGAAGGTATTAGTGGAAATGCTGTTCTGCATTCCTTTCCATTAAGTAAACAAATATTGCCTGCTTGACAGGCGTGAGCTAACTTAAATTTTTGTTCTTTTAATTTGGCTGAAATGAAGGTGTAATCTTCTGTGTATTAAACTTAAGGGAAAGAACAACAACTATAAACTTCTGTAATTTTCTTAAGCATGTCAGTCTGTGTAGTGGATGCAATCTGGAGCCACTTGGAGTGCTTCACCTAACGATATTGAGATTAACTGTTGGTGAGGTTCCTATAGGAAGTGTTTGAAGTAGTGCTGCCGAAGAGGAGCAAACAGCAGTTTGAAAACTATTTACTGTCAAATTTAATACGCAATGTTAATGCCTGGCAAAGATGATGCAAACTTTATTTTTATCAGAGAGGTGTTTAGAAATACTGGCAGTGTTTGGCTACGAGAAACCTCACTTTTTGGACTCTGCAGATACTCTGAAGGGAAAACCTTGTGTTTTCTCAGTGTTGTGATAGATTATTTTTTTTTTAATTGAATCTATTACTCAGTTAATTACAGCGTTAGTTTTCTGGGAACTAACAGAGCCCAAGTCTTTCCTTCTAGTCACCTAGAAGTCAGATAGTGTAAGTACTTGGATAGAAAACTATTTGTGCATTTTGACTGTTACAGCCTTACTTTAGGAAAGGAGTGAAGGGCAGCTGAGAGGTCAAGGCATACTGTCACTTATGTGCAGTGAACCAAAATTTTAAGCTGTTTTGGTATTTCTTATCAAACTTCATAAGTGTATTATGCTGTAATGTTTTAAATGTTTTATGTATCATCCTATTTAATTTTGTTGACCTTTAGCCTTGAACAGCCAGTAGTAGATTCTAACGAGTAGGGAGTATTAATGTCTTTTCGCAGTGGAGCTGTAAACAGCATGAGATCTAGAAAAGTACTTTTGCAGAGAAATAGATAACATTATTACATGGTATTTTAATAGAGTAATTTAAATCATGCCAACTTTAAAGAGACTAAAGGAGTTGGATGCGTTTTATTATGCTGGTTACTTTAGGACAGATTTAGACTTGCTTATGTTTTCAGGCTCTGAGAAGTGGATTGAAAACCTTTCCTACATCTCTCTTTCTGTTTTGAAAGTTGTAGGAGGATAACTTAGTTTCTTTCATAACCTTGCTGTATGGAATTATTTGGTAATTGGATTGGAAATAATTCTTCTAACTGCAGTGTCTCTCTTAATAGTGTTTCATTTGTATAATATTCTTGTTTGATCAGTTTTGTTACAAGTTGGTTTAATCGGGATCTGTTTCATGTTCTGGTTGACTGTGAGTGCATGAACAAAACTACTGTCTCAAGGGAGAGGCAGATAAAGGTGCAGAAAGGAATATCCTAGGGGGACATAAGGAGCATGGCACCACTTCTTTCAGCACAATGCCGTAGCTTATATAGCAGCTGTGAAACTGGTGTAAACCTGAATTATGCACAAAGCAGATGTGCTCTGTGTCATGGTTATTAGTGGTTTCTCTTGCTCTTCTCTTTAAAACTGATGCTCAGAAATAACTTACACAATCGGGATCATTATAGGCTTTTCTAATTGTTTCTGAAGACAATCATCTTGACTGTATGAACCAAAATGTGAGATTAAATTCTGGTTGTTTAGATGCTGACTTGGTGGAAGGCTCATGCTGCCCTCTGATGGCTAGTAAGCACACGATTTATCCTAATTCAGTTTATAGGAATGGAACCAATTTCTTTTGGTTTGGGTTTGCTGGAACACTTAAGAACAAAACAAGCTATAATCATCCTTAGACTTGCATTGAATAATGAAGTTCATTTGAATTTGGGTGGTGTCCTGTGCTCCCATTCCCACTCCCATGGGAGTTTGTACTCCCATTCTAGTAATGCTGCTTCTGTACTTCTAGACCTGAAATAGTAGTTTGTGCTATGGCAGAAGCTGACTCAATTTTCTTTTTTTGCTCATAGCTGATGATTTCAAGATCTTGAAATTACATACTTTTGCTTTGTTTATAAAAAGCAGATGTTGCTGATGGGCATGTTCCCTGTAAGTTTGATAGAAGAACGTTGATATGTTGGTAATATGGTATACATGATACAGTATTAATTTCACTTTGAAATCTGGTAATTTGTTTCCTTGCATAGATATTTTTCAGTTTTTGAATAGAGCTGCATTATTTACAGGTTTGTCCAGTAATAAAATGTTGTCTTACTGAATTCTAAGATGCTGGGTTATATATACTCCAAAGGAGTAGCTGAACTTTTTTCTTCATTAGGCTCAGTTAAGTGGAAACTTCTCTTAAAAAAAAAAAAAAAGTTTATAGCTGGCTGCCTAAATAAATAATAAATGCAGTAAGTCAACTTACATACTGTGGTCCACCAGCAACTGAAGAACAGAACAGCTTTAGTAGAATTTATTTGGAGAGGGAGCAAGGACAGATCTTCCTTTGATCCATACTTGTAAAGCATTAATTGATTATAGTTATTAGGCTAACGTGCTTTAAATTTTAAGATGTTTGTTAGTATTAGGTACTCAACATACTGCGGTCAGTTGTCTTCTGCTTTACTCACTGTCTGCTCAACAATGTTTGATAACAGAATCATTGATACAGTGAGAACCTTGCCTCTCAACAGAAATCCTTGTTTTGGATATGGTATATGTTTGTTCAGGGGAAATATTGTGCTGATCTCTGTTATACAGGCAGATGAATAAAATCTAAATAACTTGCCAACAGAAACTTGTGGTCAAGCTTGGTATTAAGCTCTGATCGTATGAATCCTGTGTTAGTGGTTTTATGACATACTTGGTTTTGTGCCTTGGAATTGCTATGGAGCTTATACTGAAGAAAAATATCAGCCCTTGTCTGTGAATTTCCTTCAGAATACTTTCTGTGAAGAGGATATGCTTGAATAATATCTGGGGAGGGTAGGATTAAAAACTCCAGTTTCCTTTACACTTAGTTACGGTTAGTGACAAAAGTAGGTAAATGTTAAAAATATGCTTGCTGGGAGATGGAGAGAACTGTTGAAATCAGTTTAAGATTGAAGGGTAACTACACAAAATATTTGTAAAGAAAAATATAAACCCTGATATTTTCCCTCCTAGGATTCTAAACTACCATCTTCTGTCCGGAATACGCTCCTTGAACTTTTTGGTCAAATAGAGCGGGAGTTTGAAAATCTGTATATTGAAAATTTGGAATGTGAGTATCTATTTTTTCCAGCAACATATGAATTCTTTGGATTTAGGGTATAGTAGGAATAATTGAGATGCTTATGTTGGATAGTGTACTTAGCATAGTTTTTCTGTGAGAAGTTTAAAAATTGTTTTGAACTTGTAGCCAAAGATGGGGTTTGTGTCTTTGCAGGAAAATCACTTTCTTAGCTCTTTGACACAAGTAGTGAGAACTGATGAGTGTCATCCTCCTTGACTCTCGGACAAAGAAAGTGAAGTAGCTGTCTCCTTGTCATTGTAGGCTCCGGTATATACCATGTTAATCTGGCAGTAATTCTGTTCAGCCATTGAAGTTTGTGGCTTTTTTGTATATTTACAGGCTTAATTTTAATGATTTAATATTAGTAAATAAAATTGAAAAAATGTTTTACTTGAAAAAGTGTAAAATGTGGTGTTTCCGGATCATACTACTTAGTACATTGTGTAGCCAGCACCTGCAACTGTTCATGAATTTTGAAGTACAGCACTCAGATAAAAACTCCAGGTGTTACCTACACAGAATGTGTTTTGTTTAATGACAGTGCAGTCATATGGTAATAATGTAAGTGATCCAGGGTGACGTAAGAGGATCCATAGTAAGTAACACAGGCAGTTATGCAGTAAAGCCTCTGCTCAATTTTCCTTGGTGGATTTCGGAAGTTGTGTTGCGTGGCTTCGCTTCTGAGTTGTGGAGTCTGTCTGGTTTGGCTACAAGTCAAATTTTTTGTCACACCTAATCTGTTCCCACAGTTAAACCAAACACTCATGTTAAAAAAAACGTTCTTGCGTGCTTTTTGAAAATGTGCTGGTTTTTATTCTCTTAAAACCTCAAGATGGTGTAGGTTAAATGCTATCATCACTGCACATTTTTTAATGATACTTCTCACAATGGAGTTCTTAGCCTTCTGCTGAGAAGTTGGCTGGTAGGAAGAAAAGTAGGGATTGTCCCCTGCTGCCCCACTTCAAAAATGTTTGTCAGAAAACAAGTGGTAAATTTGTTTGTACCCTCCAGAGTATAACTATTTTCCTTCCATTCCACTTTTGTTTCTTCTGCATCTTCAGTCTTCACCTCACAGTTCTAGTTCACTCCTTTCAGGCAATTCTTGTATGTGCCTGGCTTGTTTGTTTCAGTCATCTGTTACTAAAAGCCTGTCTCTATTTACTTCTCTTTCATATTGTCTTTGTTTTATAAAAGTTTAGGTGTATGCGTCTGGAAACACAGAAATAATCTTGCTTTGCTCATTTCAAACAGTTGGATGTGATATGCAAATGTAAACTGACTTTTCCAGTGCTTAGAACTGAGACTTCTGTGAATTTCTCAGAAATGGCAAGAAGCATACTCCTGATGGGTCATATTCTCCCACATTTCAAACCTTGGGCGTGAACGACTTTAAAAAAGTCCTAACAACTTGTGGAAAGACAGGTCTAGACTTATTCTCAAGAACAGTGAAAAACCGCTTGGTTAAAGCTTCTCAGTAGAATTTCACTTGAGGAGAACACTTAAAGAATATCAGCCCAGATTTTGAGGAAAAATGTTCTTTATAAAATGAAGTTGAGCAACTTTAAACGAGCCCAGCCACTGGAAATCACTTATGAGTACCTAATTTGTTTTAGCTATGCCGTCACTCTGTCTTGTGTTGAAATGGCACTGGTGAGTATTATAAATAAGTGACAGAAAAGCATATTCTTGTTACAAACACATGGTTTGTCCGATGTGCAATGAAAATGTTTTGATCATATTTAATGTTTCTAAAACACTTGAATGTAAAATGTATGTGTCATTCTAAATTTTTTAGTGTATTTCAAGGGACAAAATAATACACATTTGCTGCACTACCTTTCTTAGTGAAACTCTAGCAGTAGACAGATATTCCTACTATTTTGTGATTAACAAAATCTTTTGTCAAGAAATTACATACTAATTCTGTGACTAAAAATATTTATGGTACTGCAAATTTTCTGTCCTGTTGGACTTAATTCAGTACAGGTGTGCCATGTATTTCACAGAAGCTGTTTTGTTAATCTTAGTCACATTTATTAGCAAAAGTAACAGTAATTAGAAGCCACTAATACTTTCCTTGGAATCTGGGTCAAGGTTGGTCTCTGGAAAATTCAGCGCGAGTCTTGGTTTATGTCTTGGGGAGACCTGCTTTTATAAAATCACAGTTGATGTCTTTTCCTGTCCTTAGCTTAAAATAGATTACTTACTTACCGTAACAGTTTTTAAATAGTATGTTAATGATACTGATTTTCTTGTATTAATGGGAATTTTTGTTATTGTTAGTACGTAGAGAGATTGATACACTTAATGAGCGTTTAGCAGCTGAAGGACAGACAATTGATGGAGCTGAACTGAGCAAAGGACAACTGAAAACAAAAGGTAAGAGAACCATGAAGAATCCTGAACTAGTATTTTTGAATTTACTGTTTTTATACTGAGCTGGCCAAAACGTAGAATCTTATTGAAAGGAATTAATACCAGTTACTTATACAAATAAACTAATGCTGTATTTGAAATATCTTCCTTTGAATTTATTTGTCTCAACAGCGAGTCATAGTACCAGTCAACTTTCTCAGAAATTAAAGACAACTTACAAGGCATCTACTAGCAAGGTATGAGACAAATTAAACCTCTACTCATCAATGTGTACTCATGAGACTAACATGACTGTCTTTATGTTGTAAATTGTGGTTTCTTTAGGCTGAGTAGTGCTGTTCTTTAAGTTAAACCTACATCATGAGGAACAGTATGTTTATCTTGGATTCATCAGTTACCCATTACTTCAACCACTCTATATGACATTTTTGCAGTAATTGCTCATCTTTTTTAAAGAATGAATGTTGGAGGGGAGAGCGTGTGTGCACGTGTATATGTGACATTACTCGTTTGTGAAGAGCTAAGAAGAATTACTCAATTTCATGAGGGAAATGGAGAACTTAGTAGGTAGTAAATTTCTGAATAAAGATTGGGGTATTGCAGTTGAAATGGGGATTTAAGCAGGCATCTACATATGTGCTTTTATAGTTTTGGTTTGTTTATTTTATTTTTTAGCTATGAGACTAGAACAGTTTGTTTCCTTTATGTTGCAAGCCTTGCAAATTAGTAGCTAGTGATCTTTTTGCCTGGTATCTTAGCAGAGTTACCCTTTCATGTGCATCTGTCTGGTATTTTTGTTTTTCTCTTTTTCTCCCCTTTTTCAGTTTTCCTAGAGAGTTTACCTGCTGCTTTTTTTGCCCTGTCTCAGGGTCATTTCATGATACTTTATTAAGGTTAAGTGAAATGTGAGGAAACCGCAGTGGGATCTGGTATGTGAACCAACTATATAAGAAGCTCTATGCTGACCTGTGTTGCAGGCTAATGAGAGGTTACAGAGTGACTGTAGGTGTCTTGGAAATGCCATCTGTTAAGTAGTCTGAAAGTATGAGAGTAAGAGTAGTGTGGTGAAAGAGATCTAAGTTACTGTGTTTTACTTGGTCTCCTTTCTATTTTATTGTTTTTCAAACTTTCTTTTTTATTCTGATGCATAGAGGTGCCTCTTCCTTTTTCTTAAGAGTTAATGACTAACAAATTCTTTAATGAGCCCACTTAAATAGGGATAACATGATATTAATAGGGACAATATAGTATTAGTACACCTACTATGTAGTTATAAATTAGTACTTTATGTAGTGTAGTGTTGGGGTTTCTGTTGGGGCTTTTTGTTGTTGTTTTGTTGTGTTTTCTTTTTTTCTTTTTTTAAGGCTGGTGTTAAATGCTTGTCTTCTTTTACTTGCTTGCAATGTAGCGCTCATATTCTTTCCCGGGCAAGGCAGGCGGACCTCGCAACTTCAGCATGGGAAGCTGGGAAGTATGGGGTGGAGACTCCTGGGTAACTGCTTTGCTTCATGGTGTTCGGATGTGCATGCACAGCAAAGTAGTCATGAGTAGTGGAACATGAAGAATTGAATACCTTATTATAGACATCGTACATAACTAGTTTATCAGTCGATACTCAACAGATGTTTGAATGTGCTGGTGTATTTCTTACCACAACTCTGAATCAGAATTTACTGGAGGGCAGAGAGGAGAGATGAGGGAAATGACAAAGTTGAGAGCATCTCTCTCCAGTGTGTTCTTTGAAACCTTTCTGCATGTCATGGGAATGGCTTTGGTTCAATTGCTGCGTCCTTCCTACACAGAAGAGTCAAAGCTGCAACCTTTTGTCTCTTGACTTACAAAGAGATTACAGCCAAAAGTCAGGAAAGACTGTATTAAGTTTCTAACAAATTAATCTTTCTGTCTGTATCCTGACTGGATGCAGTTAGAATTACCTAATACACTATCTTGGAAAAGGACATTTGAAGAGTTTTAAGCGTTCAACAGCTTTGAAATTCTTATGTCTGTATTTTTTATGAGCATTGACTGAACAATACTGTTCACCAAAAATGGGTTGTGTTTCAAACTCAGTGGGGTAGTGGATCGCAACTTTTCTCTTTAGCCCATCCTTTATAATGTTACTGTATGCCCAATTTAAAACTTGTCAGAAGTCTTTTTTTAATCTTTTTTCCCTGTGGGTGATTAGAAGAGACTTAAGTTTTACAAACCAATTGTTTTGTGTAGTTGCACATGATTATATTTTTCTGATTGCCAACCAATAGAGTTTAGGTTTGTTCTGAAAAGAGCTTTCAGTATTTGCCTGTTGTGAAAAAGCTGATCCCTGACTGCTTTAATACTGGTAAAACATGCTAAGACTGAAGCTGTTCATTTTCTTGGGAAAAATGCTGAGGTAAACATACTTAATATGAGTCTTTCATAGAAGATTCTCGTACTTCGATACTTTTTGTCCCTTAGCTGAGTTAGAAGTATGAATATTAAGTTGACAAACCTCATATCAGAAAAGGATGCTTTTAGCAGCAGATAGAGTAGATTTGGTGTTTGGTAATGTAAAAATAATTTTTTGTATATGTTAATGGACAAGATCCTGTAATTTAACTGTAGTTTGTAGATGGAGGAATTGCTGGGTGAAATTCATGTTTTGATGTTAGCAAGATGTTATTGCTGATGTTAACAGTCTCTGGGTATAACAGCTGTTAAGACATCAGGAAAACATAAACAGTTTATGCAGAATCCTAAAATAAAATGAAATTATATAGCTCAGTCCATCATGAACTAACTTCTAGGATTTCTCATTCTTTTGGATCGGGAAAAGGACTCTTAGAGCAAGGTATTTTTTCACCCAGCTGTTGAAGGGAATAAAACTTTTTGGAAGGTGTAATTTTCGACCTCACTGCTTAATGTTGCTCCACAGGAAATTCTTTTAATCAGTCACAGTGTAATGCTGCTGGACTGGTCCTGAGTTGACCAAGTTTTCATTCTTATTTCTAATGTGTCCTGTTTGCTTTTGCTTAAGAGACATTTTTACGGGGTGTTTCAATTTGTTTGCCATGCAGTTGTTTCCATTTGTATTCGGTTTTCAATTGTTCACATGGTAAACAGTTGTTTTCATGGTGTTTCAGTTTGCAATTTTCTGTTGTTTACATGGCTAACAATTGTTTTCTTATTAACAAATCTCTATAGAAGGAAGTACGTGAAACTATATGGATTTAAGAAAGAGGACAGACAAAACAGAAACCCGCTCAAGATATGATTGCCCACTTATTTGCAGTTGTAGATGATAATCTGGGATTTGCTGAAATTATTTTAAAAACTTTCGGCAGTAGAGAGGCATCTTTTTAGCAAGTTCTATGTTATTTAAGTATTTCCTTTCCTTTCTTGGAAGATTGTTTGTGTATGGTTAAGGAACCAGGAAGTTCAGCCTGGAGAAGAGAAGGCTCCGGGGAGACCTTATTGCGACCGTCCAGTACCAAGGGGGCCTACAGGAGAGGTGGGGAAGGACTTCTTACTAGGGCGTGTAGTGGTAGGACGAGGGAGAATGGCTTTAAACTGGAAGAGGGCAGGGTTAGATTAAACATTAGGAAGAAGGTTTTTGCTTTGAGGGTTGTAAGGCACTGGAACAGGTTGCCCAGAGAGGTTGTTGAGGCCCCATCCCTGGAGGTGTTCAAGGCCAGGCTGGGCTAGTGCGAGGTGTCCCTCTCTGTGGCAGGGGAGTTGAAACTCGATGATCTTCAAGGTCCTTTCCAGCCTAACCATTCTATGATTCTAAGTAATCCAGGGACTATCTAGTTTATCCAATTATTGGTATTTGAAATGAGGGACAGCAAAAAAGAAAGAAGAAAAAAAAAGAAAGGATGTGTAGAAAAAGTGTGCATTAAATATCTATATCTGGATATTCAGTGTTAGGTAGTGTTCTTGAACTCTTATCTTCTGTGTGTTCATTCAAGACTGCTAGTACTCCAAAAAGAGTTTTACAGTCTTGCTGTTAAATGATCAATGAAACAACTGCCCAGCAGTTTTGGAAAATTTGTGCTTGTTGATGAGTAGGAGATTTGATGCAACATTAGAAAGACAGAATGCAAGCATAGTTGGAGTGTGGGGCTGAGAGTTGAAAAACTTCAAGTTTGGAATTTGAGCTGAGCGCTATATTGGACCTTAACTGTTTACTTAATTCTGCTGTTCCACTTCTCATACTTGACTCCATTTAGTTTAAGGGCTATATTCCATGTGAAAGTTGCATCTGTAGGATTGTATTCAAAGCCTATGAAACTCTGCACTATGGTTGAACTAATAATCTTTGCCATTAACCCATTTTCTTTTCAATGCATCCTTAATGATTGTTCCTTCTGCTGTGAAACCAAAATGCATATTAGCTGTTAATTTGGAATTCATATAGGGCATTATCATTTCATCATTGGAAAGTTGACATGCTTAGGATTTGGAATGCTCTTGCAGATATTCTTTAACTTTTAAAAACCTTTTCAGAAGTAATTTGCTTTAATGACATATTAAAGACCTGTTTTGATACGAAAAACTAATGGGATTTTAACCTTAGTTTATTGTATCTGAAATGTAGACTTAATTAATTTTCTAACTTTTACTAAGCTGTAGATAAGTCTTAATGTGATTTTTGTTGAAGCATTAAAGGTTTTGACTTAACTGGTCAGATAGGTACCTGCCCATAATTGCATGCAGAGGAAAACACTGATAAAGTCGTCTTTTTGTTTCAGTTTTAACAAAGCTTTTCAGACAGTCTTTCTCAAAGCATAGTTATGACCTTCAAGACTTGTGGGGTAAAAATAGGGTATTTTTAACAGTGGGTTTGCTCTTACTGGAGTAATTTTTCACCACTCCTGATTTCATCTGCCTCTGGAAGTGTTACAGTGAGACAATTTTTTTTTTTTTTTTTAAGTATTGCACTCCCCTGTCACCTGAAAGTGTAGAATTTCTGCAGTTAAGTTCCTGTCTGTATATATTGAGTGTTTTCAGCCTTCTTGTATTATAGTGCCTTGTAGTTTTACCATTTTTGTTAGACTTCGTCCTTTCATTTGGTATTATTTATGCACATACTAATTTGGTTTTAATGAGTCTTCTCAGTTTTCCTCTAACAGCATTGACTTTGAGGGAATGTGCTTATCAAATGTTTAGATGAGTTTGACGTATCTTTAAAAAAATGGTTTGTTACACAAATAAACTGGCATATGCTCTTGGATTAATATTTGATTAGCTTTTTGCAGTTTTGAAGAAAAACAGCAGTGACTGTTTTAAATGGGAATGTTTCTGGATTTTACTAGTTATCTAATAAGTAGTACATTTTTTTCAAAGACGCTACACTAGATAACATGGATCATCTCTTAAGTTATCAGATGTGTCCTTTGGGAATAGTCAAGAAAAGGTTTTTTTGTTGTTTTTCTTTTTGGTGTATTTTTTGTTTCATCTGTGGTTTTGGGGTTTTTTTTGTTTGTTTGTTTAAAAATTATAATCGTATACTCAAACTGAACGGGAAGTGCACACTGCATTTGTATAACTCATTACTCCAATGAGGTTGTGTTATTGTAGTACAGAATAGTTTATCTTGCCTTTTGTAAAAAGGAGGGGTTATTAAAAAAGAAAAAAAAAAGTAATTGAGGTGCATTTTCATCTGAACTCACTTTCCAACCACCAAATGTCAAGTTCTTGAAAACAGTGAACTGTCAGAACACTAAAGAATCATTATGAAAAAGTTAGTATCTATTTGTATTTGTGAGATAATTATGTAATCTTGGGTCAATGTGGAAAAAAAATGTTGATCTCTCTGCTATTTCAGATTGTATCCAGTTTTAAAACCACAACATCAAGGGCAATCTGTCAACTGGTAAAGGAATATGTTGGCCACAGGGATGGTATTTGGGATGTCAGTGTGGCGAAAACTCAACCCGTGGTGTTGGGAACTGCATCTGCTGGTAAAGTTTTGTGTTCCTTGAATCTTTAGAAAATTCTGTTTTAGTCCCTCAACTATAGCAAATGTAGATCAAAAGCATACTGGAATACTGAGCTTCATACTGAAAGATTTGGTTTAAAGAAGTTTAGTAGCTGAAAAATTCTTAAATTGATGTTTCCTTGAAATGCATTTAACCCTTAGAAGGTTTGGGCATCCATGTTGATCTTTCTAAAGTATGTGCTGGTTAACTTCCATGCAGGTCATGCTCTCCTTAGTCAGCTGTAGCCTGTTGGGCGGTGTAAATGGGGGGGATTTGGGGAGCTGCTTGCTTGGAGAGGTCTCTCACGCAGAATGCTATACGGCTGTATACAGAGATCCCCACAGACTTTCTATCATAGGGTTGTTTAGTCTTTGTTTTATAGAAGCCCTAGACTTGGTCATAGTTTGCATATTCTTACATTCATCTGTCTTTTGCCTAAGGATGTAGGGTCAGCTAAAAATCTTAATTTTTCGTTCTTATTAACTTACTAGATTCCTTCCTTCCCACTTGAGAGGGAACAGGTACTAATGAGTAAGTCACTAAATCTATTATGATCCAAAAATCAATGTAGAGGCTTGTGTGGTTTTAGAAAACAATTAGTGAAATAAACCATAACCAGTTAGAATTGGTCAGTTTGAAGTGACAGTTCTTTGAAGCTGGACCAGAATCTGAATACACTTACTGGACATAAATATTACGGACTGGAAATCTCTGCTTCATAAATGGAACTGGTACTATTTTTATGTGCCCACTGAAAGACACATTTTGTCTTTGTGGGACATCTTGTCTTTGTCCTGATTTAACTTGGAAACAGCCATTCCCCAATTCAGCATTAAGGTTCACCCCACTTACAAATACTTATATTAATTATTTATTTGGGGTGTGGCAGGGTAAAGGAGTGGCATTTGGAGTGACTTCCTTTACGTAAGTTTTTGTAGTGCTCTGCGGTGACCTATATGCATTTGGGACTTCTGTGCAGCAAGTAAGTAGTTTGTGCATAGACCTCCCGTTTGTAGTGACTGCTGGACTTTTTTCACCGCTGAATGTTTCTGCGTTCTTTCTCTATCTCATGATGCACAGTTGGAGCGTTATACATAAGTATATAACCAAGTTAGCAAAAATATCAAAAGCAGAATTTGCCTTTCAATATGTATGGCAGATTAATGCAATTAGGACAGCACTTTTACTTTTTTGGGGAGCCGTGTATTAAGTTATGGTGATAGGAAGCTTTTATATTTTATATATAAGGTGATAATCAAGAGGATTTGGTCTGTTCTACGTTTGAAATCTATTTCATATGGTATGCTCTACATTTGATGATAACATATTTGTTGAATCGGTTAAAAGTGAAAAACACACATTTGTGACAATATTTACAGCGACTTTTTCATCTTTATAGATCACACTGCTTTGCTGTGGAGCATAGAAACAGGGAAGTGCCTTGCCAAGTATGTAGGGCATGTTGGATCAGGTAAGATAAGGGCATGTTGCGAACTGGAAACTGGGGGAGGGGGAAATGTGTTTTGGACAACTACAAAAATGTTTACTGTAGTTTCACTTGCAGGTTTGCCAACACCATTAACAAGTCAGTTGGGAAGTTCCACTAATCTTCATACAGAGGATGTTTTGTAATATGATTCTTTCCTGGAGAGGCTATTAAGACAGTTCTGTAAATGCTAAATCAATAAACAAGCCCATATAAAGAAATTTACAGGCACAGTTGCAATACTCAGAAGTTAAATGTCAGAACTCATTGAGCTCTCGCACATATGTAGAGCAAGCGAAGCTTATATAATCAGAAATTAGCTGTTTTGCAGGATCTGTGTTATATTTGGGATACAAAATACAGATGCTGGTTGAACATCTATTTGCAGTTCTTCGTTTAATACATGATCCTATATATAATTTGTTGCATAGTATTAAAACCTTGTTTTGGAGATAGTTAATTCAATATAGGTATTTGTCTTCCTCTATACCAATATGAATATTTCAGAAACAGTGAGTTTTAAACCCCTCCTAGGTTGAAGAGGTGCAGTGCAGTGAGTGTTTTTGATATTAATCTTAATTTTTGGTGTCCAATTTGATAAGTGTCTGATTAGCCCACTGCTGTCTCATAATGGGTTACAATATCGGGTTTTATATACCAAAGTTGAAGAGGTTTTTCATAGCTTTAACTTGCTGTTGGGAGTTGAGCACTTTGAGTGATTGTACCCTGGAGTGTAGAGTCACTCACCCAGAAAATAAGGAACGCAGTTATTGACCTGGTATGTTTGGTTAAGTAACTCAGCTAGCGTATCACATGAACTTTGTGGCAAAGATACAAATAGAATTAAGTTCTCCAGAGAGTAGTCAGCTGCTTCAACCATGAGTTCTACTTTTTTTTTTTCTGCTGCTGCTATATGACTTACAGCTCCTACAGCACAAAGACGCTAATAGATAGATGCATAGAAACAACTGGTGACACTTTCATTAGTTCAGATATCTCGGGTTGCTCGCTGCATGGAGAGGATACCTTTAGCCTCCATAAAGTTATGTTTAAAAACTCCAATCACTTGCATTTTCGTGCTGACAGTTATTTATTTTAAATTGCTGCTTGAATAACCATGAAAATATTAAAAGCTCTAACCTGTATTTAAACAGCTGTGTGTAAACTAAGAAAAAAACCCCCACTATAATTTATCCAATTATATATTATATTGAAAAATAATATATTTTTAATTTAGTAAAACTCTTTTTACTTGTTTACATTTGACAGTTGATTTGCAATGTAGCAAAGGTGTCGGGTGCCAGCAGTTGGTGCACCATTGAGTTAGTTCATGGTGAACAACTTAAGGAGTGTCTTTTTAGACTGTTTACACCGCACTCTCTTGACAGGAGAATAATCTATTTTACTGGATTTATAAGTTCTTTCTTGAAGAACTGTTGAAGAGAAGCTTATGGATTTTGCAAATGAAAGTGCTTAATAATGAAAAGTAATTGAATCTTATGCACTGAGATAGAAAATGAAGAGCTTTGTAGACTGACAGAATTCTTGCAGGTCTATTTTAAAACGATCATGTTTTGGTTACATATGATTGCAGGACTGAAATATAATTTGTATTATTTGCATTAGGTTTTTAGGCATTTGTTCCTGCAATCTTAAGTAATAATCAGAAAGTTGATGGTTATATATAGTAAGTTTTCATTATGTTAGACATAGTTACAAATACTTACATTCTCTTAATGGAAGTCCAGAGCATTATCTCCTGTCAGCTTGCACATGATTCTTTGAATGTGGTTTGTTTATCCTCTGTAATATGGAACACTTGTACTACATTCAAGAAATAACTTGCTAGAAAATATGTATTGTTTTATTATCAGCTATAGTTGCTTGCCTTGATACTACATAGGTTTATGTAATCAAATAAAATACCTTTCTGCTTTATCTTACCTAAGAGATTGCTATACTACAAAAAATTACTTAAAATTGGACTTCCTGATTTTTCCAATGCTTTAATGATAAAATGTTGTGAAATAATTCTTTTAGTATACTAACTTAAAACTTTACTTTGTTTCACACAGTAAATTCCATAAAGTTCCATCCAACTGAGCAAGTGGCTCTTACAGGTATGTAAAGTTTTTTCATTTGCTGAGTATGTTAATCATGATGGAAAAATAAGTGTCATTCGCTAGCATCTTTTTGGTTGTAGACCCTCTCCCTACTGCTTTGTCAGTATCCTTATTGATTGAATTATTTTTATATTTTAAGGCATAACAAATCAAAACTAGATCTTTCCATCTGTGTTTGTCATATCATTGTCATTTGTGCTTACCTGCTCCAAACCAAACATCTAGAATCATAAAACAGCTGAATGTTCACAAGTGCACGGGGCCGGATGGTATTCATCCCATAGTACTGAAGGAGCTAGCAGATGTTACGGCAGGAGCCCTCTCGATCATCTACCAAAGGTCTTGGGAGTCTGGGGAGGTCCCTCCTGACTGGATGTGAGTCAGCATTATTCCAATTTACAAGAAGGGCGTGAGGGAAGACCCAGGGGACTACAGACCTGTTAGTCCAACCTCAGTCCCTAGAAGAATTGTGGAGATTATACTGGGTGCTGTTGGAAGGCATTTAAAGAATAATGCAATCATCAGGCACAGTCGACACATGTTCACAAAGGGAAAGTCCTTTTTAACTAATTTGATATCCTTTTATGATAAGGTCGCCCACATAGTGGAATGAAGGGAAGGCGGTGGATGTAGTTTTTCTGGATTTTAGTAAGGCTTTTGATACTGTCCCTCACAGCATCCTTCTGGACAAGTTGCCCAACAGTGGGATGAGCAGGTTCACAGTGTGTTGAATGAAAAACTGGCTGAAGGGCAGAGCTCAAAGGGTTGTAGTGAATGGAGCTACATCTGACTGGCAACCAGTTGCCATCTGTGTTCCTCAGGGTTCAGTTCTTGGGCCAGTTCTGTTCAATGTATTTATCAATGATCTGGATGCAGGAGTTGAATATACCATTAGCAAATTTATGATGATACCAAACTGTGAGGTGCTGTTGACTGTCTTGAGGGACAAGATGCCTTGCAGAGGGATCTAGATAGATTGGAGCATTGGGCAATGATTAATGGGATTAAATTTAACAAGTCCGAATGGTGGATTCTATACCTGGGACAGAGTAATACCAGGCACAAATATAAATTGGGAGAGGAGTGGCTGGAGAGCAGCACAGCAGAAAGGGATCTGGGGGTTCTGGTCGACTGCAGGCTCAATATGAATCAGCAGCGTGCCCTGGCAGCAAGAGGATAAACCGCATCCTGGGGTGCATCAAACACAGCATAACCAGTCAGTCAAGAGAGGTGATTATCCCGCTGCATTCAGTGTTGGTGTGGTCTCACCATGAGTACTGTGTGCAGTTCTGGGCCCCACAATTTAAGAGGGGTGTGAAGGTCCTTGAATGCATCCACAAGGAGGGCAACAGAACTGGTGAAATGTCTGGAAGGCACGTCCTATGAGGAGCAGCGAAGGACTTTGGGTTCTCTAGTTTGGAGAAAAAGAGTCTGAGGGACGACCTCATTGATCTCTACAGCTTCCAGAGGAGGGGAAACGGAGAGGGAGGTCCTGGTCTCTTCTCCATGAGATCCAATAATAGGACACATGGGAATAGTTCAAAGCTGCACCAGAGGAGGTTTGCACTGGACATTAGGAAGCATTTCTTTACCAAGAGGGTAGTAGAACACTGGAACAGGCTTTCTAGAGAGGTGGTCGATGCCCCAAGCCTGTCAGTGTTTAAGAGGCATTCGGACAATGCCCTTAGTAACATTCTTTAACTTGATCAATCCTGAATTGGTCAGGCAGTTAGAGTAGGTGATCATTGTAGGTTCCTTCCAACTGAAATAGTCTATTTTAGTATATCTTAAACCTTTTTGAATATATGATGTTTCCAGAACTAAAGGTAAAGGATATTGTGATATTAAGTGTGCAGAAAAAACAGCTTGAAAATATGATTGTCAGTGTAAAGGTGATTTTAGGACTGAGAATACTATCAGTGCAGCTTCAGGTTTGAAAACTGTATAATGTGGTTAATACTATGGTTCATACGGTCCAGCAATTAGGGCACTAGCTTTGGGATTAAAGAGATCTGGATTCAATTTGCTGTTAAGTCATTGTAAAATGAGGATAATTATTACTGAGGTTAAAATTAAAACAATGCTGTTTTCTGCATCTACAGTGATCACTTTAAAGCAAGATAGGGAGTAGAATGCCTTCTATCTAGGCTAACAATGATTTAGGTTTGGATATTTGGATTTTCCTGTTTTCATATAACTGTAGCTGTTGTTTCAGTACCATAAACATTGTTGCTATATAAACTGACTTATAAAAGCCAAAACAAACTAACCAAACAAAAGCTGCCCATAGTTAGCTTTTTGTTCTGTTATTTTTCTGAGAGGTGGTTCTGCAAAGTATTTCCATTGAAAGTTTTCAGTTCTTCAGTGTCACTTGATTGATTTAGCACTGATTAAAATAAAAAATCTTCCTTCTTGATCCAGAATACTGACACCAGGAAATAATATAGGGTTGACCTTTCTTCTAGCCTTCTTGCTTGGTCTATTAGATGAGAGATCTTTCCTAGTGCTTTCATGTGCATTGCACTTGCCAGATCTATGCATACTCATAACAAACTGGTTTTCTTCTCAATCTAGAACTCTCAGCACTGTACCCCTAGGTATTAGAGCATGTTTGTTCTGTCCATAACAAGGAGAATCTTGAGTTTCTCCTTAGTTGATGATGGATAAGACTCTTCCAAAAACAAATGAAGTCTAAAATCAGATGGTACCTCCTGAGCTGTAAACTGGTGCTAGTAAAGCTGAGTTGCTTAAGGCAGAAGGATAATAGATTCACACTTGCTTTTTTGGGTTCCTCATTAAAACCACACCAAAAAAAATTTAATGAAGAAATCATTGAATGAAGAACCACTCCAGTATTTTGAGAAATAGCAAATAAGGGATGGTACCTGTTGATCTATTAAATGCCTTCTTCCAATGTTACATATTAGAACAGCAGTCGCGTTTGTGTTCCGATATGTAGTATTTAAGTGGATGCTTTCATTGTAGGAATTATTAATTTGGTAGCTACTTATATTTTGCATAGCGAGTTATGTTCTTACCAGTATTGAAGCCAGGAAAGTAACTGTTGATGTTTTTTTCTAACCGTCTCTTAGAAAAAGATGCAACTCAGTATTGCCAAATGTAGTGTTAAAACTTATTTTTATTGTCCATGGAAATGCTGTTATTTAGCCTCTTTCTTCTTTTTTTTTTTTTTTTTCACCTCTCTTCCCCCCCTGTGCAGCATCTGGAGACCAGACAGCTCACATCTGGAGATATATAGTACAGTTGCCGACACCTCAGCCAACTGCAGACTGCAATGTAAGCAATCAGCTTACTGCAACTAAACTAATTGCACAGCAGTTTCATCAGATACAGGTTTTGTGATACGACTGAATGTTAAATTTATACATAATTTAAAAATTACATGATTTCAGGATTGGAAAAGGTGGGATTTTAAGGTTTTAGTTTAACAGATATAGTTCAGCCTTTCTTTCAAAAAAGCCTTCATGTTTTCAAAGATCTATGGTGCAGAATAGAATATGCAGCTGCAAGTACATTGACTTTTTGTTCAAGTTAATAAATGTGTACGTAAACAAAGTGTTGAGTAAAATTTTTTTGTAATCAAATCGTACGTAATCATGAAGTTCTTTTTAAACTACTTAGTGAGGTACCTGTGTTAGCTATAGTTGCTATGAATTTAAAACTGATCGTAAAGACATATTTTTGGTATTTATTTAGTTGTGTCTGTATTGATTTCTAATCAACCCTTGCCAGCACTCATCACACTATCTGATGTTGTTGTCCTCAGGCTTTTATTTAGTCGGTATTTACTGTAGACTGTCATATGCTGTATTTGACTTAAAAGCACCCTTACTAAATTGTGAAGATAAACATGAAGCAGCATGAGCTTCTCAGTAAGCTGGGTAGGGGCAAGAGATGGCTGTATAATATAAGATAGATTTCTGAATGGAAAATGTTTGATTCAGTTTTTTTTGTTTGGCATTTCCATTTTGAAAAAGCAGTACAAATGTTATCTTTTTCACATCCAAATATCATGAAAGAAAAGCATGTCTTGCATAAGTGAAATAGGGTTCAGAGATCAAAGCTTTATGGTATAGCAAAAGAATTTATTTTGCATCCAGCTTACATCAGCACTGCGTGATGACTATGTATTGACCAGTAGACAAATATTGATGTCATTATTTTAATTCTAATGGATCAAAATACGGCTGTAAGTTATTGTCTTCCTAAAGATTAGAACACTGTGTCCTGTTAGACGCTTCCTACACTTAAAAATCGAAAGGAAAAAAAGTCCCTTGATACATGTGCTGCAGTGAAACTTGAGGGCAATACAGTAATGGGAATGGGAAAAGACTTACCAGATAGTAAAGGGGACAGATACTCAGAGCTAAACAGTTCAGAAGAGATTTTTTTAAAATGAAGTAGTTATTAAAACTGTATTTAACTCACTGGTATTATTCTGTCAACTAAGGTTTTGATAGTGAATACCTGAATAGGTTAGATTCTACAGACTGAAGTTACCCACCCACATTCACATTAAGGGGATTGGGAAGCATTTACACTGTAAAAAGTGACTTGGAGACATTCCTTCCCATTTGTTCTAAATCTTTTTTCTCTTGCATTTTACAGCAAATGTCTGGAGAAGATGAAGTTGAGTTCTCAGATAAAGATGAACCTGATGGCGATGGAGATGGTTCTAGTGACTGTCCCACTGTCAGAGCCCCATTAACTTCCCTCAAAAGCCATCAAGGAGTGGTCATAGCAGCTGACTGGCTCGTTGGGGGGAAGCAAGCTGTGACAGCGTCGTGGGATAGGACAGCAAATCTGTATGATGTAGAGACTTCTGAACTCGTCCATTCTCTTACAGGTATCTGTCCACTTACAAAAAGATAAATTGGTGATTTGTTTTTATGTGTGGGTTTATTTGTAGATATGGAAACATTGGGAAAAGCAAGTTGTTTCTCTGGACTACAATGTGAGCGTGTACAAGACTTGAACTGCTGCTTAATGTTGTAATGGTTTCTAAAATTCCAACCTTGTTAATCCTCTGAGCATAAATGTGTGTTCTTTTAAGCTTGTGATATAGCCTACGAAGCAGTTGTCTTTAAACTGAATGTAGCCAAATTTTAGTTCTTGCAAAATATTTTTGCAGTGTTCATGACATATTAAGTAGCCATAACCTATTGCTACTTAATAATCACGTGAAGTGAGTAGTGAGTTGTTTTGCTTTTAAATATAGTTCTAAACTTTTACAGCAGTAGTAACGTTAGAGTTCAGAATTATTATTATTATTCTTTTACTGTTTGAGGAAAAAAGAAAAAAATCATCAGCATTTCATTCCAAGTGTATGTGGAAATGAAAAGTCTTATTTTCATTACCTTACATGTTCTCATCTGTGATTGTAGGGCATGACCAAGAGCTAACACATTGTTGTACACATCCCACCCAACGTCTTGTGGTGACATCATCTCGCGATACAACCTTCCGTCTGTGGGATTTCAGAGATCCTTCTATCCATTCTGTGAATGTCTTTCAGGGCCACACAGAGTAAGTGACAGTTCCTTCGCAGGTTTTTACAAGTTCCAAAAGTATAAATGTATTCAGTTGCGAATCTGAACAAAACTCTTCCTGTGCTCTTTTTGAGGTACTAAGTTCATTCCCCTGTTTTATGAGACTGATTTTCATAGAAACCCCTAACTGTCTTCCTTCAAATGTAACACAGCAGTACTTAATTTCCAAAACAGCAGCCAGGGCTCTTGGTGTGATATTGCTTATATGGTAAGTCTAGATAAAAATCCTTACAGTTAAAGGTCCTTTAATGTATGAGGTTGGTTTTGGCATTGGTTATGCCTGTAGTTTAGGGGTATTGCTGTAATGAAGTTGACCAAGCAGATTACCTCTGCTTGTCATGACACTGTGTGAAATAAAGGTTACTTCTTTGGAACCAGTTGGGAAAAAAAAAAAAAAAGCAGGATTAATTTTTACTCTTTAAGCTAAAGCTTCGAATTTGTACATAAGAAATTAAAGTAAGGGCACTGATTACCATGTTCTGTCAAAACGGTGTTTTTGGTGTCATGTTTTTAGTTACCAATTTAGGCTCTTATACTGGCTACTGTTGAATGTGGGCAAATGCAGTCATGAAAATCAGTGTTACAGTGTTGACTTACCTTTCTGTTAATCAGAGCTTTGATACATGGAAAATGCAGGAGTAACTTTGAAATACTTTATCCAAGGAAGTGAATCTTTTTTTAAGATTTTTGAATGTTTGAACTTGAGTGTTTCAGAAACAAATTTCACCTCCCTTCTTCAGAATAAAAGATGATTGTTAATCCTATCTCAAAACAAAACCAACAAATATTTATTGCGTTATGATTTAGTTTCAGTATCAACTTTCTCATTTTCCCAGCTGTTGGCTAACCTATATATAAAGTAAAACCTCTTTAAACACTCCCACCTTCTCAACTTGATAAATTACTTGCTGCATGGCAATGATCCCATATAAGTAGCCATTTTCTCCTGGTACAAGAGTAAGCTTAAATTTGTGGCCTGCATCCTAGAATTGTTTCATGCCATCATTTTTGTACTCTTCTATCACTTTTTCTAGGATGACTTGTAAAAATTGGAAGTTTTTGTGTCCATTGGTGCTTGTGTTTTTTTCCTGAGCTAATTAATTGCTTTGTCCCAGGCCATTTTTTCAGAGAAAGGAACAGGATTGACATCAGTGTTTTTTCCACATGTATGCTGACCAAAAGATTTTGATCTGGGGTGATGGTGCATACTGTAAAAGCTGTTAGCTGGTATTTTGGCCTTTATCACTGAGACCTATAAACTCTCAGAGAGTTTGTTTTATCAATGGAATATACCTTGAGCAACCTCTTAGATCACTCTTATTCCAGGTTTTAATTGTCTTCATATTTGTGTTTGTCTGTTGTATTGTCTGTCTCCATTTCTTTGAATGTATGAATTTTTAGTATTGACATAAGCTTTTTAATCAAATGTAGTCCAACTTTTAAGAGTCTGAAAATTGACTTTTCTGTTTAATGGATAAAGTTGTTTAGCGCTCTGTTTTGTAGAAGAGGTAAATGTTACAAAGATTAGTATTTCACTGAGGAATGCAGTCAGAGGGGAGATGGGAGCTTGGTATTTTGTAGTCAAGACATACTTCGAAGGATTTTATTTTTTGGTCCGTTATTGTACTGCTTATTAGCAGTATTTTTAAACTGTTCTCAAATCAACACTATAACAATCTCACATTAAGCAGCATAGAAGAAACTGTTTTATGTGTTGACTGGAAAATACATATACGCAAGACATTTGTTGGCTTTGCTGAATATCTATTTGAATAATTTGCCAAGTTTTTAATATTTTGATAGGCTCTTGGAATCAGTTCTGTAAATTGGATGCTAGTCATTAACTCTGATTTAAATTCCTCAACCATGAGTTTTAACAGCCTCTTGCTAAGTACTACCTGATGAATAGCTGTCTAGAGCTCATATAGAGCAGCTATTTTTTTTCTGTCTTTCAGCAGACCAACTCCTAATGCATTAAACTGATATAATTAGATACCAAACATCTCAATCATCAGGCCGACGTACAGTTTATTGTGTTTTAGCCCCCAGAATCTTACTCCATACTGATACTCCTTCTCACAAGGGATCCAAACCATCACTGAATCCGAGTGATGCATGGCTTGGAGTTTCAGTTTTGGTCCCTTGCGCCCTGTTTGACACTGCCTGGCACATGCTTCTGCCTTGAATGCTGTGAAGCTCCTCTTGGGGCTGAGCCCTTCTCCATGCAGCAGAACTGAACGAGAGCCTGAAGAGTGAGGTCAGCACTGATGGAAGGCTCCTGGCCAGGGTGATGCAGCCTTCCCACAGAGCGTGACAGCCTGTGGGAGGCAAAGGGGGCCCATGGCTTCTGCCTCTTGAAACTTTGTATCCGACATGGTATTCGTGCCACCATGAGCATTTTTTAGTTTTGGAAATGCAAGGGAGGGTATTGAGACTTGAAACCTGCCTGGAAATGCAGGGGTTTTGTTCCCTGGAATGTTACGCTTTGTGTCTGCGTGTGTACTAAAGACACGTGTGGATAATGTAACTTCAACTTCCTTTTTAGTAGCTTTAGTGAGTTACGTTGAAGATTTCCTCAAAATGGCACATTATCTTGTAAAAAATATAACAGAATGATGCTGATGTGTTGAGAGACTGAGGTGTCCCATTATATGCAGTGTGATTTTATAAAATTAATTGACATTCGAAAATGGAAAGCAGTTGCTGTATATCGCCTTGTATTATAAAGTGACGTTCTGTCAAAATAGGTGTATGTATACCAGCTATGAGAGTTTGTTTGTATTTTAAGTAAGTGGACTCAGAACTCACCTATTATTTTGGTGTTCTGAGCATATGGTGGCTTGCTTTATGAAAAGTGGAATATTTCTTATTGTCTACTATTATGACAGCCCAAGACAACAAATTATCCTCCAGTAAGGCCAGAAAGGATCTGTTGTGATCAGCATATCTGTTGCAAGCTTCATGCATTGATGCCTGTTTTGAATTAGGAAGTAGTTTTAGTAGAATTGCCAAATGTATATTAGGTTGTTCCAGTGATAAAGATTTCAGCTTAGCCCCTGGTAGATCCTGTAAGTTGCTTATCCCGGTGTGTAGTTCACCTCCCCATTAAACTTTTTGTGCCTCCCTATTCTGAGCTTCTCTAGCTTCAGTTTCTAGCTGCTGTATTTTATCTTTAAGAGCTTTGTTTCCTATGTTAATAGATGTGTAGGTGATAAGTTTCCTATACTCTCTTCTCTACAAATTACCAGTTCTTTATTATAAGTTACCTATTTTGCCTCAATATTATGTTTTCCGATATCTTTTGACATTAATGTATCCAAAGATTTTTTTTTTTTGCATTTCAAGGCTGCATTCATCTGAGTCTTAAAAGCACATTCAGGTCTTTTTTGAAGTTGCGTCTTCCCAGGGAAGTTTCCGAATATGTAAATATTGCTTGTTTACATTTTTCTTGTATATGACTATTTCAGTTCAGTAAGTGACTTATTTGCCCGTGCCCTGCTCGCATAGTGATAGAAATATCTTCTCACGTTTTGTTTTAGGTTTGCCATACCCACAGTTCATGTCACTACTTATTCTCTACTGATTAAAAAATAATGAAATGGTGTGGAAATAAGACTGATTTTTGCTTAAATATAAAACTTCGTTATTGTCTGTTTCTGGGTACACACCAATAGGATTTCATATTACTAGTGCTGTTAATCACCAGTCACATCCCTCTATGAGGTGATTAACAGAGCCCTGGGAAAAGGCTACTTTTATATTAGCATCCAGACACTTACTTGTTGCATGTTAATTAAATTGACTTCCTGAGTTAAAGCATCCAAAAATTATAATGCGGACTCAAATTCCAACACCTTTTTCCCAGCAGATACTGCTTTAAAATACATGTTTGATAATATATAGCACCAGGTGTTCTCCTATTGAGAAATTATTGAATTTAGAGGCTATTGATTAGAACTCCAAGCTGAACTAAGGTGGTGCTCTGAAGAGCAAAACACATCTAGCGTCTACATGGCAATTTTCATTCCAGCTTCACTTCTGCTTTTGTTTGCCAACCCCTGCACAGCCGTGTCTTGTTGGGACTCTGAAGGCCATTCTTTTTCCAACCTGGTGACCTAGTTGAACAGCTCTGGTGTTGACATTGTCTTGTTTATGTGTTTGATGAGTTTTTCCTGTCTCTTCAAGTACTCTGCATTTGCTGAGGTTGTCTTGATGTGCAGAGCCTTCTAAAGTGTTCATATTGGACATCTTTACCATTTGTAGCTTAAAAAGAATCTTAGTCTGTACAGGTCCAGTCAAGTACTTTATAGATTTTGTGAATTTGTTCTGACAATTCAGTAACACTGGAAATAATTGAATACCCTATTGGCAACAGTGTTTATTAGCTTGTGAATTCATATACATCTTTTAAACCATATGCTGCTTTTGCTATAGGCTTGTAGTATGTTGATGCTTATATGCAGCTAAGGACTTAGTTGGTAAATATCAAAGTCTTTTGTTTTGTTTAGTGAGGGTCAAAGGTACACAGTGGTTGAGCACATATCTCTTGAAATGCTTGGAAAAAAATGTTTGAATAAAAATGTGTAGGACTTCCAAGTCTGGACTTGCAAATCATCCTTCAAATGTTGTTTTCAAAAGCAGTTTTGGGTTGCGATCCTTAAGTGAATATCCTTTGTTAATGCTTCTTGACTGTTCAGTATATAGTTATGCACTAATTTGTCATGGTGATTAAATGCATTTTTGGCTCCAAAAAAAGAAAAATTTGAGCAGGTGCTTTTGACCTAACCAGAAAAATGGCAAAGTTTGTTTATGACTTCTTAAACGTACTGATCTTTGTAGCTAGGTTGAGCCAGCACATCAAATATGAATGTGCGTTAGCTGTTGGGTCTATATCTTTGTGTTACTTTCTGGGCAAACTCAGAGAGAAGATTGCTGAAAGTGTGTCTTATGTTATTTCTGATTAAGAGATGTACAAGG